TCTGCTTTGTGCAGGCAGTTGAAATAACACATTCCATCTTGCTTTAGCAAGAGCTCGGAGATAAGATTCTAGTATACTTTAGAAAATGTGGAGACAATCATCCTGTGGCTGCTATGGAAAATTTTAGTAATAAAAACATTGGGGGATGCTGGGCTGTAGCTTTATTGGCAGAGTGCTTGCCTGGTGTGCATGAGTCCCCAACACTGCATAAACCCGGTGTGGTGGCACACACCTGTAATTCAAAAACTCAGGAGGATCAGGAATTCAGGGTCATATAGAGCTACATAATGAATTTGAAGCTTGTCTGGGATATGTGAGACCTTGTCTCAAACAAACAAAAATTTGGAAAGAATTACAATGAAAACTACTAGGTTTAAAAATGTAGTACTGAATTTTGGGCTATAGCTCAGTGGTGATGCCCTCACCCCGAGTGCTCAAGGCTCCGGGTTCAATTCCCTGGCATGGAAAAAAAGCATTGCAGTGGGCACAATGGGGATGGTGAAGACAGCATCGTGGCAGAGACTCGGTACCCAGCCGCTAAAAGGAGAAAATGAACTACTGTGGGCATTCATCTCCTCCCTCCCTCCTTCCTTCTCCTTCTTGCTCTCTCTCCCCTCTGCCTACCATGATGGGAGTTGTGTTCTGTTCTGCCTTCTGCCTCCCCACTGTGGTGGAATGAGGTCTCTGAAACTGTGAGCTTAAACAGGTCTCTCTGCTCTAAACTGCCTTTCTCGGATATTTTGGCACATTGACACTAGCTTTTGGAGTCTGCCTGTCTCCACCCTTAGTGCTGGGTCACACAGGCACACACAGCCATGCTGGGATTTCTGTGTGGGTATGGTACCAATGCTTTTCATCTTGTGGCAGTTGTGTGACTAAATTCAAGTGTTTGAAGATTCTGAATCTCTGTTAAACTCCTTGGAAAAATGAGGATGGTGGCACCCATCTTCCAGGCCTGTGGCAGCAAAACCAGCCAATACTGGGCTTGAGACCTAGTGGGTACTGAGCTTCTGCAGGAGGTGGGGTGGCTGGTGGCTGGGAGGAGTGCAGTAATGTGTATGGCTAGGAGAGGAGAAGTGTGAATCTTGAAGCATGGAGTCCACAGGTGCATTGCTGTGAGGTGCCTTCACCTTGCAGGCCCTTTATGGCCTCCATCTAGTCAAGCACGGTATTAAGAACACAACAGTTATTCAGTTGTTATGTCTCCACAGATTGCAGCCAAGCCCCACCTAGTTCCCCTGCTGGTGATTCCATTGCCCAAGTGCTGTGCCTCTAGGCAAGTGCCACCATGCAGATGTTTCATTTTTATCTTATCGTTATTTTTATCTTTATATTCTGCTAGAGATTGAATCTAGGACTCTGAGCATGCCAGATGAGCAGTCTACTAACTGATATATCTCTCCAGTCCTATTAAAGCCTTTTCTGGAGCTTGTGAAATGGCCAGCTTTGTTTGCAAGCTTGAGGACTTGAGTTTGAATCCCCAGCACAGACATAGAAATCCCAGTATGGTTGTAGGTACCTGTGACCCAGCATTGAGGGTAGAGACAGACAGATTCCAAGAGCTCATTGGCCAGCCAGCACAACTCAAATAGTGAGTGTGTGCACACGTGAGCTAAGTTCCCTCTACCGCCACTGTGACACCCATCACATTCACAAGAAGAGAAAAACCGTTTTCCTTTAAGTTTTAGCATATTTTAAAATAAAATGCAAAACCGTTTCTACAAATGGAAGAAGAAATAAATGTACAGGTTGCACCTCTCTCTCATAAATGTAAAAATCTAGGATGACTGAGGTGCAAAGAGTGCTGTGGTAGGCTGGAGCTGGGTGATGGAGGAGAGTGAAGGAGAAGGAAGGAAGGAAGGAAGGGAGGGAGGAAGGAAGGAAGGAAGGAAGGAAAAAGGAAGGAAGGCAGGCAGGCATGATGCACAGGCTTCCTTTTGGGGGTCACTTTGGCAGTGTGGGTTGACCAGGGTTACCACATGGGCTGTTGTCGGATCTTGTTGGGGTCCTTGATTTTATTTCAGTTGTTGTAGGAGTCATTGTATTAAAAACAAATGATAAATAAAATAAAGTAGAAATAAAAAGCCATGAGCCAAATGAAAGAGGGTTGCACATGGAACCTGGGGAGAAGGCATGAGACACACAGTGTAGTTCATCTGCTTGTTTTTATCTGGAGGCAAAAAGTAAATACATAAAATAAAATTGGAATTGAGGTAGAGAAGGGAATAGAGAGAAATCAAAAACATTGAGATGATTTTTGGTGGGAACAACCTGGACAAACAAGAGGAGAAGATGGGTGGATTAGATGGCTGGAGGACCCAGGGCTTTGAGTGCTGAGCGGAACAAAGACACATAAGTGGTATTTGTGAGCCTCGAGAGGGACACTCTGTCTCCACAGGAGAGTGTCAGCCAAAGGGCTGGATTCCAGGAGAGGGCAATGTGGCTAGACGACACCGAGGGCTGGCTTGATGCACACTGACACTTAGCCAGCTGGGGGTTTCCAAAAACTCGAAGTGTTGTGGTCACTTCTGGCTTCTCTGATAAGCCAGGCTATTAATCAGGAGGAACCACGAGATTGACCTGTGACCATAATCACCTCTGATGAGGACTTCTGCTTCTTGTGGGTAGCTGAGGAGACTCCTCTGGGAGTTGCCATCTTGGCTTAGCCCTGATGTGGGAATGATGCATGCTGGGAGCAGGCAAGGGAACTGGGTTTTGCAGTGATATGCCTATTAAGGAAACTCATTGCTCCTACAGCCTCTGGGTGCACAACTGTGATGTGCCAGTGAACTGCCACTAGAGCATGCCACAACTATTCAAGATGGCTGGATCACGGCAAAGTTTGCTTTACGGCAAAGGAAGGCCTCTTGCTGTGGTGGGGGGGATTACCCTCCCCCCCACCATCAACTGATTTCGCACGTCTTGATGATGTTGGGAAAGAAAGCCTTCTATGACCTGTGATTCTTGCCTGTCCTGTTAGGCTTTTCTGTAATGGTCTCTAAGTATATGTAGCTGAGACCTTGTGCTCCTGTCCATCTACTGCCCCCAAACCATGGTTGATTTACATATCTGTCTTCCTCTACTTTCCTCTCTTGAGTTCAGAGAATTAAAATCTGTACTCAGCCCAGGTGCTGTGGTAACCCCAGCACTCAGGAGTATCAACTAGTGTGCTGGTTTTATGTTCCCCAAAATATTGTGCACCCCAATAAACTTTTCTGGGGTCAGAGAATGGAACAGCCACTAGATACAAAGGCTAGAAAATGGTGGCCCTCACGCCTTTAATCCTAGCACTCCAGAGGCAGAGATCCATCTGGATCTCTGTGAGTTCAGGGCCACATTGGAAACAGCCAGGCATGATGACTCACGCCTTTAATCCCAGGAAGTGAGCCTTTAATCCCAGGGAGTGATGGCAGAAAGCAGAAAGGTATACAAGGCGTGAGGACCAGAAACTAGAAGCTTTTGACTGGTTAAGCATTCAGGTGTCTGAGCAACAGTTCAGCTGAGATTCATTTGGATGAGGACTCAGAGGCTTCCAGTCTGAGGAAACAGGATCAGCTGAGGAATTGTCGAGGTGAGGTAGCTGTGGCTTGTTCTGCTTCTCTGATCTTCCAGCGTTCACCCCAATAACTGGCCTCAGGTTTGATTTTATGAATAAGACCATTTAAGATTCCTGCTACAAACTAGTTTATGGTTAGTCTCAGCTCCAGGGAAGCTAGCCTGGGCTATATGAGATCCTGTCTCAAAACTAAACAAAACAAAACAAAGCAAAACAAACAAATGAATAAATTCCATGCTCAGGAGCCACTTTCAGTGGGTCCTGCCTGTAATCCCACCATGTGGGGTGCAGAGGCAGGAGAATCGGGAGTTCAGGATCATCCTCAGCTGTATAACTAGTTTGAGGCCAGCCTAGTCTACAAAAAACCTATTTCAACACCTTCAGACACGTAAGTGTGTATCTATTTCTTTATAGGAATATGTGTTTATCTATTTCTTCATATATGAAAAATTGGTGAGGTAGGGTTTATTCTTGCCCTTTTAAAAAATTGTTTTATATCTTTTTTGTTCCTCTGTTTCTCCTTTATTGCCTTCTTTTGTGTTATGTAGATTTTTTTGGCAGACCATTTAAAAATCTCTCGCTGTTGTTTCTTTAGGTGTGTGTAATGTATGTGCATGTGGATTTATGCATGTGTGGCATGTATGTGTGTGGAGGCTGGGGTTGGTGGCAGGTGTCTTCTCCATTGTTCTCCACATTTATTTCTGAGACAGAGTTCCTCACTGAATCCTAGCTTACTGATTCAACCAGACTAGCTGACCACTGGGGCCAAGGGATCTGGTTGTCTCCACCTCCAGTCGGTACTGTACCTGGCTTTTATGTAGATGCTCAGAGTCAGAACTCAGCTCCCCATGCTTACATGGCAAGAACTTTAGCAACTGAGCTGTACCTACCAGCCCTTGCTCCATTTACTGTATGGAGTTATTTTCTTAGCACCTGCTGTGGGGATTATACAAAGCATAATTCATCAGTATAAGACAATCTACTTTAGATTAATAACCAACCTTACTTGCATCGTACATGAGGCTTTGCTGACAGTTACTTAACATATTATTTTAAAGAACATTGTGTGTGTTTGGAAAATGACTATGTAGCCTAGGCTGACCTCAAGCTTAGCCTCATTCTTCCAAGTGCAGGGATTCATACACATACACCATCATGCCTAGCTTAAAAAAGGAAAATGGGGGTCAGGGATGTAGCTCTCGAGAGAGTACTTGCTTGGGTTTGGTCCCTAGAATCACACAGACTAGAAGTAGTGGTACATGCCTAAAACCTTGGCCCCAAGAGGTAGAGGCAGGAGGACCATAAGGTCAGGGTCATCCTTGGCTACACAGCAACTTTAAGGCCAGCCCCAACTACATGAGGCCCTGTCTCAAAAAATAAAAAAGAGGCAAATTGATAAACATGATTTATTTTTATACCTTTTTTTGGATTTATTATGTAATGATGTCAAGTCATGCATTTCTTGCTTAAAACAAATTTTTGCCTCTTATCTGTAGGGAAAACAGATACTTGCGAAAAGTCAAAGGGGATGAAATATTTAACTATTTAAACACTCAAGGCAGCAACAGGTGTAACATTTCTAGGTTGGGAAAACAAAGCAGTTTAGTGACAGGATGCTTAGGAAGATCAAAGCTGCTATGAGACCCATGGCCCAGTTAGTTAAGGAAGAAGTCATGGAATTTGAATTTTTAAAATTTAAATTAATTGTGTTTTTTGAGAGTGTCATACTTGAGTACTGTATTTACATCATTTCCACCCCTCCCCCCTCTCTTGAACTTGTGACCTCTTCTAGGATTATATATATTGAGTCCATTTAGTGTTGCTTATATGTACATGTGTTTGGAGCTACCACTCAGGATTGGATAAGCCATCAGGGTCTGTTCCTTGTTCAGCAGCCATTGATTGTCTTTAGCTCTTCACTTGGGGTGGGGCCCTGTGAAATTTCTCCCACTCATGTTCATGGCCACTGTTCAGGTCTTGTTTCGATGACTGTATCGTTGTGTGATTTCACAGACACAGCTTTCCTGCCATGTCTAGAAGAAGCTGTCTCACAGCAGGCTTCCTGGTCCTCTGGCTCTTACAGTCTTTCTTCTCTCTCGTTCTCCAAGCTTCAGGCTTAGAGTTTGTGCTGTACATGTACCAGCTGGGGCTGGGCACAAAAATCTCACTTGTTCTCAGCGTTTTGACCACTTGTAGATCTCCATAACAGTCTCTGTTTGATGCAAAAAGAAATTTCTTTGATGAGGGGTGAGAGGTAGGGTTAACTGTGAGTATAAGAAGTACTTAGAATACAGTTAGAAGCTGCATTGATTAGAAAATGTCGGCAGTAGTTTCTCCTCGAGTGTCTGTGACCTCTCTACCTACAGGTACTTAGCTAGGCTTATAGTCCTGGGCATGGTTCCCTCTTGTTGAGTGGGTCTGACGTCTAATGAGACAGCTGGTGACTGCACCCTTGGGGACATTTGCCATCCTGGCATTGTTGTGGTTCATGGGCTTTACAGCCGAGTCACACTATTGGTTGTCTTTCCCCTTGGCAGCTAGCTGATGCCATGTGAATTAGTCCTTGGGGAAGAACTCAACACTCGTATATGTGGGAGTCTACATACTCATGGAGTTATAAAGAATACAGATGGGCACTCACCCCATTAGCTTCTTTCTTCCCCAGTGAAAGTGGGTTGGACCTTCTGTTTCCATAGCATCTATAATGTGGCCTGAGACACTGAGTATGCTTAGGAAATACTTACCTGTTGCTCTGCAGAATGTCTTTGTTTGAATAGATCAGTGGAATGGGAGAATTGGAAGAGAGAACGTACATCCTGGAACATTTGAGAGACTATTTGTGGTTTCAAGACCAGCTGGTCCACATAGCAAGTTCAGGTCAGCCAGGGCTACAGAGTGAGACCCTGTCTCAAAAACAAAACAAAACAATAAGCTCTCCCTGAAACTTCCCCCAAATCCAAAAGTCACGGACAAGAGCATGTACTGTCTTCTGCCTTTTGGTCCTTAGGGAAGCTGTGTCCTGAGGAGACTGAGTTGCTTGGCCAGCAGAGGGAGCAGCACACCAACCCTTGGATTTCTAGACCTGATGCTAAGTGGACACAGGACTCACACGCCTCAAAAATCCCAGAGAACACAGACTTCTAGAGACAAAATAGTCTGAGACTATGATTTGGGTTTTTGCAAGTCATGATTTTCCGTTAAGTTATTCACAGAGTTCTAGAATTACCTTATTACAGTTGGAGAGTGTTGAGGGTGTAGCCTAAACATTGTCCTTCCGTTCCGCCTCCCTTAGAAAAAGTCATCTGATCATTTCATCCCAAGTCCACAAAAATCTGGCTAGGGTGTTTATCCCAATAACTTGGTTAGATTCTCAAGGTCCAAGATCTCTTGTGCAAGGGTTGAGTTGAACATTTTTTGGCTGATCCTTGAGCCTTTGATGTGGTGATGGAGCGGGAACTGGGGTGAGTTCTTCTTGCCTGACTCATCAGCTCCCACAGCTCGAGTGTCTCCGGTGTCCTCCCCACACTGCCTGTCTTGCTGACTTTGCAGAGCCAGCACCCATCCTATCCCATCTCATCCCACTCATCCCACATTCTTCTCCTTTGGCAACAGGGCTACGGCTGAACGGTAGCCCTTGTGCCACAAGGGACTTTTCTCTTATTCTCTCTCCATTCAGTTTGTCACAGGCTTATGTGTGGCTGTTTCTCTTATCTCTTGGAAATTCATGCCTTAGCATGCCCCAGCCTCTCTTTGTTAGCATTTCTGCTGGGCTTGTGGTACCTCTTCTATTTTCTCGTTCTTGTAGAAATATTTACTTGTTTTGATTGTATGTGTATGAATGTTTGCCTGTGTGTATGTGTGTGCGCCATGTCCATGGAATGCCCGCAGAGGCCAGGAGGGTGTGAGTCCCACGGGGCTGCACTTACACATAGCTGTGTAAGTGCTGGGGTTAAAGGCCTGTACCACCACACCCAGCCTTTTCTTTTTTAATAACCCACTAATAACTAAGTCTGGTTAGTGCTGCCTATACATTCATGGATGTATGGCCATCCATTGGACCATGGGAAACCTGTCAGTGGCCACATTCTCAAAAAAGAATGCTTTTCCATCCTCAAGAAACTATCAGTTCCCAATAGCTCTTCAGTAAGGGTTGGGCCTCAGTAAGTTGTGGGGCCCAGTGATCATTGTCCCATCTAGGCTAGGGTTTTTTTCTGACTTGATCTTGTATAGGTATTATACAGGTAGCCACAGTTACTGTGAGTTCATGGTTTGGAAAGCCATGTCATGTCCAGAGGATAATATTTCACAGCACTCTTCCCATCCTCTGGCTCTTACATTCGTTCTGACTCTACCTATGTGATGATCCCTGAGCCTTGGCAGGGGAGGGTTTTGATACAGATGTACCATTTAGGGATGGGCACTCCATCTCTTATTCTCAATACTTGGATCAACTATATGTCATTGTATTTATTGCTGCCCACTGCAAAAGAAACTTCTGTGACCAAGATTAGAGCAGTTCAGGTCTATGGGCATAAACAAAAATATTTAGAAGGACATTTGACAGCATGAGCATTTAGCAAAATAACAATAGCAGGACTTACCCTAGGGCCCATGACTTTCCCAGCCATGAGTTTATGTTCAGTATTACAGTACTAGGCATGAAATTCCCTACTGTGGACAGGTTTCAAATCTGATCAGAAACTCGTTAGTTACCCCTTAACATCAGTGCCACTATTGTATCAATGGGCACACATTACTTAGCAGGCCCATATTGCAACACTTAGGATCCAGTAGTGCAGGGTAAGACCATTGCTATCTTTTTGTCCCTAGCAGCCTACATAGCTACACCCCTGCACTGTGGTGGTTTGAATGAGAATGTCCCATATAGGCTCGTGTATTTGAATACTTGGTTCCCAGCTGCTGGAACAGTTTGGGAAGGATTAGGAGGGGTGGCCTTGTTGAAGGAGGTGTGTTGCTGTGGATGGGCTTTTGATTTTCAAAAGACTTGTGCTACTCCCAGTTAGCTCTCTCTGTTTTGTGTTGTAGATGAGGTATGGCTCTCAGCCACTGCTCCAGCACTATGCCTGCCTGTATGCTGCCATGTTCCTTCCAAAACGGTCATGGACTCTGACCTTCTGGAACCATAGGCACCATGCGAAAGTTTCCAGGTTAGCTTGAGATTTGATATTCCTCCCTATGAGGTGTTGGGGGAGGGTACAGAGGACCCAGAACAGCATACGCTGCTGTCGTTCTCTTGGTCGCCTACTGTCTGCACGCTGAGACCCTACTGCTGAAGTCACTACACAGTTTGGGTGAAGGACAGAGAAATCAATCTCTCTAACTTTTTAATATTTTTCTACATATATCAGACAAGATAATCATCGAAAACCAAATGTACCTTGTAGGACTATCAGCTCAATGATACTATTTCCTTGAATGAACAGATTTCATTTATTTAGATGAAGTTTTTCAATGGAGATTACTAATTTTTAAAAATATTGTGGCTGGTAAACCCTGTTGGTACTAAGGTTAGTCTATTTATTGAGTTATTTGACAGTTGGCAAACATTCTGCTTCTATGTTTATGAGATTTTTCTAGTAGTTAGAAAAAATATTAACCAGCATTATTGTCATAGGAAAACCCAGCATCTACTGTACTCTTGCATATAAACATATACATACATGTATATACATACATACACATATATGAATATAAAAGCATGTGTGCACACAGACTCAAACACATAATCACACACATATACACATTTCTGCATGCACATACATATACATGCATGCACGCACACGTACACACAACCCACAAAGCTGTGCCATGTCATTAATATTACTTTTATTTACTTTGTTTTTCTGGCAACAGCTGAGTGTGCCTGACAACACACCTTCCAATATAAACACTTTGCAACCTAGGCAGGAGAAAGTCATCCCCCAGCCACGGTCATGTCATGCAATGAGGAATACACACAGCTGTGGCAACACCTTATAATTACTTAATTTGTTTTTGACAGTTCCCATTTTTAGAGGAAAGGAAAATATGAACCTCACATGGCAAGGACTTTTATGAAGGTCCAGATCTGCTTGCTTGTGAAAATTCGCACATTTTCTTGGGAAAGAGTACAAAGTATGACAGGGAATTGAAGTCAGCGGTGCCCTTTCCTAATCCTGCAAATGCTCAGGGTTTCTGCTGTCCATGGAGAGATGGATCAAGGCTCCCGTCAGCGGCAGAAGGAGTGAGATGAACAAGAATTTCCATCCTGTGATGGTGGAGCTGGGAAAGGGCCTCCTTTGTGGAAGAGCTCACTTTTAATGAGGAGATGGGCGCAGGACAGTCACAACTTTCTGAGGAGGCCAGAAGAGGGCATTGGATCCCCTGAAGCTGGAGTTAAGGGGTTGTGAGCCAATGTGTATCCTGGGAACTGAACACAGGTCCTCTAGAAGATCAGCAAGTGCTCTGAACCTCTGAGCCATCTCCTTAGGACCCAAATCTCTTCTTTTTTGTTTTGTTTTTGAGGCAAAGTCTCACTATGTACACATGGCTGGTCTGGAGCTTGCTAAGTATGCTCTATGAATGAAATAAAAAAAAATTGAAAAAATAAAAACTGCCCAGCAACTCAGGAGGCAGAGGCAGAGGCAGAGGCAGAGGCAGAGGCAGAGGCAGAGGCAGAGGCAGAGGCAGAGGCAGAGGATCTCTGTGAGTTCCAGGCCAGCCAGGACTACATGATGAGACCTTGTCTCAAAATTACAAAAAACAAAAAATTGGTAACTGCTATTTAAATTAGATAAGTCTAATTTGGTAACTGTGGTCTATTTAGAACTATGTCTAAATATTCTTGCAAAAGAACTAAAGAGGGCAAGAATTAGCCAAATACACAGATGAAAAAATTCCAAAAGAACAATTTACATTACCAGCACCAAAGCATGCCCAAACTCTGGAAGAACGCCTAAGCACTATGTTGATCTGATATCTGCTGTGGTTTATAACTCTTAGAGTCTGTCCCCTGAGGATTTCTGGCAGCAGAGAGGCAGCAGGACCTGGAAGAGGTGGGGCTTAATGGGAGGACTTAGTTAATTGGGGGTATGCCCCGAGGGACAGTGGGACTCCGGTGTCTTTGGCAGCCTACTTTAGATGAAGTACTTCCTTTTCCACCCTCCACATCGGGACTGGTGTGTGTACCTCAAGTATCCGGAGATGTGAGCTAACAAACCCTCTTTTCTTTATAACGTTAGCGCGCTTCAGTTATTTCTTCATAGTAATGAAACAGGATTACTGTGCTCTCCATGGCTCTCATTTTTTTTTAACAAAAGTAATATGTGATAATTATAATGAAGCAATAGAAAAGTGATGCCCCTAATTCCATCTGCAGTAATTAAATGTTAGTGTCCCAGAACAAATGCTTTCTTTCACTTTTTAATTTCTGTGTTCACACATGCTCACACATACAGAGGTACAAACACACAGGTTACCATACGAACCCATGCACCAACATGGGGTTATTTGTATTTATCTAAAACTAAGATCACACACACACACACACACACACACACACACACACACACACACACACACAGAGAGAGAGAGAGAGAGAGAAAAATATAATATACAGATTCTATTGTGAATTTCTTTTTTTACTTCATCTAGTGAGATGATTATAGATTTGAACTTATAATAGCAAATTAAAAATATGGCTCACTAGCTGGGCGGTGGTGGTGCATGCCTTTAATCTCACACTCAGGAGGCAGAGGCAGGCCGATCTCTGTGAGTTCAAGGCCAGCCTGGGCTATAGAGTGAGTTCTAGGACAGGTCCAAAGCTACACAGAGAAACCCTGTCTCGAAAACAAAACAAACAAACAAACAAACAAAAACCCCCAAAACAAAACAAAACAAAACAAAACAAAACAAAACAAAAAAAAGGTATGGCTCACCAATATGGCAAATTTAGGCTGCTGACTCCAGTTCAAAGACTTCCTTCCACACTGTACTATGGCATAAATGATCCAACAGGAAGGGCATCAGAAGCAGGCTGTGCATTACCCGTTCTGTGAGCATAGCGCCTTGAAAGGTTGTTGGGTGGCAATGTGAAAACATGAACATAAAAGTCAGTAGAAAAATAGTATATAGTCACACTATAGTATATAGTCACACTATGGTATATAGTCACACTATAGTATATAGTTACACTATGGTATATAGTCACACTATGGTATATAGTGGAGTGGGGGGTGAGGG